GAAACAAGCCAGGAGTTGGGCATTTCTCCACCACCCCCCACCCTCCCACCTCCAGCAGCCCCATCACAGCCCAGCCCCTGGGGGTCACCCACCTTGGCCAGGGCAGCCCCGAGCAGCCCCCCAAGCAGCTGGCAGATCCAGTAGGGAAGGAGCATCATCAGGGTGAGGCCTCCACTCAGCATGGCCGCCAGGGACACCGCAGGGTTAAAGTGGCCCCCACTGTAAACCGGGAGAGCAGAGGGAAGCCGTGAGGCTAGGTTCCTGGGCCCACCACAAGACTGTCCCCTGAGAAACTGTGTCCCAACCAGCCCCCCAGGCTGGTTTTACAGGTTCAGAGTCAGTCCAAAGCCCAGCCAGATAGGAAGAGATACCAGCAGGCCCCATTTTCCCTGAGGTGTGGGCTGTGGGGTGAGAGACATGGGGGAGCTCAGGGGAGAGCAGCCCTAAGCCCTTCCCCCAGGGCCACCTGGGGGAAGAACATTCAGGGAAACTGTCCTTAACTCCTTCCAGACTCCCTTCCAACTCCCTCAGAGCTCCTTCCTGCCTCCAGAGATGTGACTACAGGTCAGATTGCGACCCCAGGCTCTGAATTAGTAGCACAAGAGCTTGTCCTGGCCTCCCCTTATGGGCAGCAAGGCCCAGAACCAGAGCTCCCAATGGAACTGCTCAGCCAAGAAAGCCCCACTTGTGGTCTGAGAGTGAGAGAAGTGGAGCATGGAGGTTAGGGGTTCAGCCTGGAAGTGGCATTGAGAGGTGGAGGTGGGGGTTCCTGATTGGGCCAGGGATTGGGGTCAGGACTTTGGGGTGAGCTTGGGAGCTAGCTGAGTGGGAGCCTGGGGTCAGAGGGCAGGTTCCAGTTGGCCAGCCCCTACCTTGCTCATGGGCAAAAAGCATCCTCTTCACCAAGATGCTCCACCTGCCTTGGCCCCAGAGCCTGGAGGCCCCTCAAGCCCCTCTACCCCCACTGGTGTTGGTGCCCCATCCAGCCCCACCCTGATGGAGGGACTGTTCACAGAGGTTGGCCCATTACATCCCTTGGGTTCCTGGGAATGGATACTTCTCAATAAGGGAGAAGGTGACCTCATGACCCCTCACATCACACAAGAGCCCAAGTGCCCCCAGATGTGAAGAGCCCACCACTGAGCCTGCCCACCCCCAATGGACACAGAACATTGAGCTGAGACTGGACAGGGCACCTTGGCTCTGGACAAAAGGACGTTATCCAACACCCTGACTCTTCCCAACCAGCTGCCCCCAGCTCATCTGGCCCAGCTCTGTGCGCAGACCCTCAGGTGAGCTTCCTGTGTGTTATGAAAACAGCAGCCGATGCTCAGACTGGAAAAGTTAGGCAGAGGGGCAGCCAGGCCCCCATGGCTCCAAGTAGCTTAGCCTGGGCTCTGCCACAGCAAACAGGCAAGGTGCGGGTGGGGCAGCTTCCCTGGGAGGGGCAGAGCTAGAACCCCTCAGGCCATTGTCCTCTCCTCCACCATCTCATCTACCCAACCTGGGAGAGACTGTGACTGAGCATGGCTCAGCCAGGAGAGGGCTGGATGACCTGAGGACCACCCGTGTTCCCTACGCTAACTCTAAAACGTTTGGGTCATTTATTGGTTGCTCTCAGCAAATACTCTTTGAACAATTACTGTGTGCCAAGTGCTGTGCTGGAAGCTTCACACAACTTACCTTGGATCCATTCAACAACCTTAAAGAGAGTGCCTGGTGTGTAGGGGTGCTCAATAAATATTGGTGGGGAAAAGGCATTGACTAGATAAAAGGCTGGTACTATAGAGAGGCAGGATGTATAGTGCAGTGTTTCTCAATCTTCTTTTTTAATCTCAGGGCACACTCGAACCTTTGGTTAAACTTCCATGGCACACTTAAATTATATTGATCCCAAAAAAGTAAAAAAGAAATATACTTACTGTGCTTTGAACTTCTTTGGAAAGTAATTTAATGCTCTTCAAAAATTTTCACAGCACCCCTAAGATCCTCTTACAACACACACCAGCGTGCTGCGACACACCAGTTGAAAATCACTGCTATAGTGTCTGAGTGATAGTCTGGGCAGCCAGCTGGCCTGCGTCCAGCTGTGCTGCTGCCTAACTGTGTGACCCTGGCCAAATTCATAGCCTCTCTGTGCTTCAGTGATTCCCAACTGACAAGGCTGTGCTGTACGTGAATTAATACATGTGCAGCACATAGTACTGTCTGTCTGGGTAGTATAGTAGCTCGTTACTTTATAGTTAGTAAATGCTAGCTCTTATTATTACCCACATTTTTACTACTGCATACCGAGAGGTCCAGCCACTTTCCCAGGTGACCCAGCTAAGACGTGATGAAGGTTGCATTCACCCCCGCACCCATCTGAACAGAAGATCATATGCTTTTCATTCCTCTGCCAGCCTCCCTCAGACATTTAAAGAGCTGTCCAAGTTCTCTTTCCATTCTGGTTTTCTCAGAAACAGGATTTCAGTTTCCCCAGATTCTGCTCTGTCTTCTGAGAGAGATTAAATATGGACCAGCCTTGTCCCAGACTTCGCCGCCAGGTGCCCGATTCAACACCCTTGCAGCGTCCTCTCCTGGGAACTGCCAGCCTCCCCTCAGCCCTCCCCAGTGAGTCCCCACCCAGTGGGAGCTGAGCCAGAGGAGTCCATCTGTCTGCTTGCCCTCCTGGTCACCACTCGATTGCCCAGGGCCACTGCAGGTCTCTGTACACCTAGTGGGTAAGCCCCCACTCGGCTCCTGTGCACATCTCTGCTTTCCCTAAAACTCTTCTAGTAACTCAGTGACCAGGGTGAGCTGAGCACTTGGTGTGTGCTGAGCTGTCACTTCATTTTATTTTCATGGTACCCTGTGAGGCACTTGGTTTTAGGGGCTGGGTCCAGATAGCTCGGCCTTGGCTCCTTGGCTGTTACTTAGTATCGCTGTAACTGGGGCAAGGCTACACCACTGTCCCTTTTGCAGCTATAGAATGGGGCTAATTACAGGACCCGCAAGGTTGTGAGGATCAGATGACTAATATCTACTAAGTTTGCTTAGAATAGTGCCTGCTCCATGGTTAGCAAAATGTATGTGTTGGTGTGGAAAAAATACATTTTTAAGATGTGCTCCTGTTCCCGTTTTATAGGCGGGGACTCTGGGTTTGGAGAGGGACTTGCCCAAAGCCAGGCACTCACAGGGTGAAAAATGAGGAGAGGACCCCAGGCAGCCCGAGACCCCTCTCCACACTGCTCCACAGAGGTACCTGGAGACCTGAGTGGTGTGTAGGGCCTGACCACACAGCTTTGCCACCCTCTAGGTCCCCATGGGAGCCCCAGGCTAAGTGCTTGGGGCTGGTCTCACCTGATATTCCCCAGCGTGGCGATGATGAGCCCCAGGGCCAGCCCGTGGGCCAGGGCTGGTTGCAGCACTCCAGTGTTTGGGCTATTCTCAATAACAGACAGGCATCCGATGAAGATGAAGAGGGCAGAGCCCAGCAGCTCAACCAGGCAGGGCTGCAGCAGCCGCTCGTACCAGGACATGTGCCACTTTCCAGATATACTTGGCTCCTTTGCCTTGCCATTGCCAAACTCAGAGTCACACATGGTTATCTGCCACAGGAGAAAGCAACAGTAGACATGGATAGCAAGAGAGCCTACACAGGAGACCCAACCCCAAACCTTGGGGTGAATTTGCAGCCACCCCTCGCTCTGCCAGGCTGCAGAGGAAGATGCCAGCAGTGGACTCACCTCTCCAGACATCAACACGCGATAGCACAAACCCAGGATCTGGCCTTAGCTGTTGGGAAACCCGCACCTGCTGTCCTGGCTGTCCTGGACACTCTTATCTCTAAGACAGAACCTGATCCCGCTACAGGCTCTGCGCCCTTTAAAGGGTTGCAGAGGCTCACTGAGAGTGCTGAGAAGCCAATAAAGCCCAGGTGGGAGGAGGCCTGGAGGCCCAAAAGAAACTTTTATCTCGCCAGGGCTGGGCTGTGCTGTGCTGGGGAGTCAAGGATTGTTGAGCTTCCTGCCAATGAGGGGAAAGGTGCTGGCTTGGCTAGGTCACCTGGACAGCAAGCCCCGGGCCCTGCACCCCAGCTCCTCACGATCCATGGGAGGCCAGCATATGTCAGAGGGTATGTAGAGGGCCCCATCATGTTGGAGCTAACAAGTTAAGTAACAGCAAACTCACCTTCAATTATTTTTCCCCAGAAGGTGATCCACTGCTGGGTGAAGGAGTAAGACGCCCTGAGATGTGGTGGTGAAACCCATGCACTTGGCACACAGGCTCTCTGGATTTAAATCCCAGCTCTGCTGGGAACCAGCCATGCAACCTTGAGCATGTGCCTTAACCTCTCTGCACCTTTGTTTTGCCATCTGTCAAGTGTGGATAATAGTGATAGTGGCCATGGCATGGGGTAGTTGTGCGGTTTAAATGGGTTAATACATGTAATGTTCTTGGGACAGTGCCAGACACATAATAAGCATGATACCAGAGTCCATTAGTTTAGAATATTTACTTAGGGCAGAGTGTAGTGGCTCATGCCTATAATCTCAGCACTCTGGGAGCCCAAGGCAAGAGGATTACTTTGGCCAAGAGTTTGAGACCAGCCTGGGCAACATAGTGAGACCTTATCTCTACAAAATATAAAAATTAGCCAGGGCATGGTGGTACATGCCTGTAGGCCAACTACTCTGGAGTTTCAGGCAGGGGAATCACTTAACCGTAGGAGTTCAAACTTACAGTGAGCTATGATTGTGCCATTGCACTCCAGCCTGAGTAATAGAGTAAGACTCAGTCTCTAAATAATATAGTTATATATAACTAATATTTATCAAGGCATTCTGTGTGCCAGGCACTAGGCTAAGTACCTTATATATAGTATCTCATTTAAATCTCACAGCAACCCTGTGTAAATACTGTTATTACAGTATTTTTATAAATGAGAAAGTGGAGTTCCAGGAAGATTGAGTTTCCCTGGATTACACAGCTCATGTAATCACAAAACTTGTAGGTTGGGCCGTGCCTGTAGCTCAGTGGGTAGGGACCAGCCATATCCACTGAAGCTCGTGGGTCAGAACCCAGCCCGGGCCAGCTAAAACAACAATGACAACTGCAACAACAAATTAAAAATAGCCGGGCGTTGTGGCGGGCACCTGTAGTCCCAGCTACATGGGAGGCTGAGGCAAGAGAATCACTTAAGCCCAGGAGTCTGAGGTTTCTGTGAGCTGTGATGCCATGGGACTCTACCCAGGGCAACAGCTTGAGACTCTGTCTCAAACAAACAAACAAATAAATTTGTAGGTTGTCACAACAGGACAGACACTGTATATGATTCCACTTATATGGTAATGAGGTAATTAGACAAGTCATGTTTGTAGACACATAAAGCCAAGTGGTGGTTCCCAGGGGCTGGACAGAAGGAAGGAAGGGGAGTTAGTATTCTTGGGTGCAGATTTTCTGTTTGGGGATAAAAACTTTCTGGAATTGAATAACGGAGAGGTGCACAACAATGTAACTGTTCTCCGGAGCCCTCTATTTGTTGACGCAGAGAAAAGAAACTGCAGATGGAATGATTGGCATGAAGGGAGGTTGAGGCTCGCTCAGGCACAACGACAACTGCCATCTTTATTATCTTATATATTCTAAAACACTCAGTAAAGATTTAGTATAGTCAAAAAGAAATGAAGTAAGATCAGGAAACTGCCATTAAGATTCCAATTCAGTACGATTACTGCTGAGCACATATACAATTGATTTTGTTTGGGGTGAAATCATAAAGGTGCCAGGTTGTCTACTCCGCCAGCCCATTCCCTTAAACCAAAACAAGTAGTTAATATGTTAATAAGGGCTCCGTGCCTATGGCTCAAGTGGCTAAGGCCCAGCCACATATACCTAAGGTGGCAGGTTCAAATCCAGCCTGGGCCCACCAAAAAAACCCAACAATGATGGCTGCAACCAAAAAATAGCCAGGCATTGCAGTGGGTGCCTGTGGTCCCAACTACTAGAGAGGTGGAGGCAGGAGACTTGCTTGAGCCCAGGAGTTGGAGGTTGCTGTGAGCTGTGATGCAACAGCACTCTACCCAGAGGGACGGCTTGAGGCTCTGTCTCAAAAAAAAAAAAAAGTTAATGAGGAGAGAGGAACAGAGTACAATAGCCCAATGCCTCCGCAGGTGTTCTAGCTTCCAGCTGCGATCTGGCCCGGCTCTCTGGCTTTTTCTTTTATGAGAACATTTCTGCATTTCTGCAGACCCATGTCCTCAAAGTAAAAGAATTCCATCTCAGAGCCATATTCCACGGAGAGCGCATGAAGCTAAACTGCCATGTCTGAATGTGGGGTACTGTACCCCTTCCTAGCCCCCTTTCTAATTATTGGCTTGAACTGCTGCCATAGCCAAAAACACAGTAGTATTCCACTCACTAGTTTTCTTTACCTGCAAAAGTTTTATGATAATCAAATATAACACAAATCCAATTAGGCAAAACAAGAACAGAGAACCGGCAGAAGTTCCAAATAAAGTATAAATTTTATTCATTGGATTTAATTGAGCAATTCCTTCAGATACACCTTTTAAGATTTCATGTCCATTAATTTGTTCTAATTTTTGCTCAAAAGTTTTATATACTTGATGTTGTCACTCAGTTATATCAGCAGTTAAATTTTCATGATTTAACAAATGTTTTGACTTTACTCCAAGGAAATAATGTTTCATTATAAAAAACAGGTGTTACCCAATAAGAAGAAACATTCCAATCACATTTTAATTTGATCTGTTTTTCTAAACTATACAATTGATCGCCTAACAAAATTACTGTCTGTTTTAAATCAGCCAATTTATTATGTATTTCAGTATCAATTTGTTTTTGAAAAACCCATAGTTTCTCAGCATCTCTATGCCATTCAGACACAAATTTTTCAGTCTTTACAGGTTCAGTGAGAGCTACTCTGGGCGGCTGCTGCAGAGGCCGTGACAGCTATAATCCCAAGAATTGCTGCTATCAGATAAACCTCTTGGTCCTTTTTGTCAGCTTCTGGGCTAAACTCGCTAGGATGGAAATGGCTGGGGATTCTTCCCATGGTCTCATCATCTTCACGGGGAGCCAAATGCCAGTTCTGGCTCGAAGTAGATAAATCCTATCTCGGGAAAAATTAAAATCTCATGGATACGTTAAAGCTTGTGAACATTTGACGTTTGCCTGGACAGTGTATTTCTCCAGTGTCTTTGTCCCAGGTAATATTTCCAATTAACCAAACATAAGGAAGTTTTACACAAGCATAAGTAAAATGGGCTTCTTGCCACTTGAAATGAAAGGTATTTGAAAATGATGTCCAGATTTATGTATATGCATACCTTTACATGCATGTAATCCAAATAGAGCTGCTCCAACTTTCCATAAATACCTGGAGCGGGGCTTGGCGCCTATAGCTCAACCGGCTAAGGCACCAGCCATGTACACCTAAGGTGG